GGGGGGGTGTTGTGGGTTTTTTTTTTTCATATATATGTGTGTTTATTTACTTAGGAAAATGAAGAAAGGTTGATTGTATTTTGGTAACTGCAAGTACTGTTGTTTTCTTTTTTCAATAAAAATATTTTCAAAAAAAAAAAAAAGCCTTTTTGTACTTTGCAATTACTTTTTTTCCTCAGCTGTTGAGCAACAGATTGGATCAGACTCAGTGCGCTGTGCAGGGCTGCTCCACTGGATTAATGTTGTCACACAAAGATTCATTAGTGTGCAGCTGATGTACCTGTTAATCCACCCACCTATTCCTAACTTTGTCAATCACTGTCAGCGCCTTCTTGTCAGCTTGTTTGGCACCTCTCAGTCAGAGATATTTCAGATTCTCTCAAGTTCTTCTATGATCCCTCAGCCTAATCACCACGATCATCACCATCACAACGTTCCTCCTCCTGCTTGATATCATAGACTAACACTTCTGTGGTGCTGCTTAACAAAACTCTCCTGTTTCTCTTTATTAGCAGCTCCTTTCTCCTGGTGAACAAGCTCCTGCTGAGGCCCTTCAGTCACCATCTCCCTGCTGACTGGCTTGTCATTAGACTTGCTGTAGTGGTCCCACTCTTCACCCAGCACACTCCCAGCATCACTCAGGTCGCCCAAATGCTCCACCGAGTCACACTTTTCCAGGTCGGAGGCGATGGTTTGAAGGCTGATAACCGACATGCAGTCTGAGCCGACCTGCTCTGCCTCCAGTTGCTCCCTCTGGCCCCAGCCACTCTCTCGGTGCCGCTCTACCCACAGTCTGGTTTTCTCACCATCTGCCCAATCGCTCTCAATAGTGTCGACTCCCACACAGCTACTGTCATGAATTCCAGCGGCAGTTCTGACCTCAGCTTCAGCACCTACAGGGGAGCTCCGACCCCCACAGATGGCAGGATGCCCCCTGCTAGCTCTGGTCCGCCCCCTCTGTGCATGGATCTGCTCACTGATCTGCTCCAGGTTCCGCAGGGCCACGGAGTAACGCATTTTTACTTTTGCCACTTGCTCCTCTAGCTGTACGACTTTAGCCTTATGCTCCTGCAAAAAAGGTTACAGCAAGTTAGGAAGGCTCACGCGGACACATTTAAACATCTCTACACTCCAATTAATTACACCTTGGTTAAAACAATGAATATTACATAAATGCAGCTTCTTATACCATGAATGCAAGCCTTATCATTAGTTAGTAATTTTATTGTCCAGCATAAAGAAATTCACTCTTCACTTTTGTCAGTGATATTTTACACAGTAATTAATTTTGTGAGCACCTGGGTGCAGTGGACCAAACAGAAAAGACGTCGTTACACGAATTTACTACTTTGAGGGTTTTACACCTAAACAGGTACACAAGTACACAATGTTTGATCTTTTGTATTTGAAGTAGAACTGGCTTAAGATGTGAAAAGTATAGCACACATGGTAAATCAAGTGGTTCTTATACAGCGCTTTTCTACTTCGAGCACTCAAATGCTTTACACAACTTGTACATTCACCCATTTGCACAAGCACTTTTTCCCACGCTAAGTGCTTCCTATCTAATGTTCACACACATTCATACTCCGATGGACGCGTCAGAGAGCAACATGGGGTTAGTATGCCTCACACAGACAACTTTTACAGACAATACATAAATAACTGCAAACTGCATTCTGATACTGTTGTGGGCACTATCTTGATTTCAAAATGTTCTGATTTTTAACTGCAAGGACTGGGGGTGAGGAACCGCTAACTCTTCTAATGAAATTTGTTTTTCTTCAATTTTCAATATGTACGGCAACCACGTTCAGATAAAGGATTTGCTGCTTCTACAACAGCGAGTATTATCTGTTTGCAATGCAAAATCATGCAATGCATTCTCAGTGACTGTCACAGAGCTTTTTGGAGTAACTGGAATAACATTTCTTGTCTGCCTTGATAAAGTGTTTTACAGCTGACAGGCAAATTCATGACTAATGAATAACTCAAAAGATCCATCCATCCATTCGCTTCCGCTTATCCTTTTCAGGGTCGCGGGGGGCGCTGGAGCCTATCCCAGCTGTCATAGGGCGAAAGGCGGGGTACACCCTGGACAGGTCGCCAGTCTGTCGCAGGGCCAACACACAGGGACAGACAACCATTCACACTCACATTCACTCGCACATTCACACCTAGTGACAATTTGGATTAATCAATTAACCTATCCCCACAAGCTGCATGTCTTTGGACGGTGGGAGGAAGCCGGAGTACCCGGAGAGAACCCACGCAAACACGGGGAGAACATGCAAACTCCACACAGAAAGACCCCGGCCTGATGGTGGAATTAAACTCAGGACCTTCTTGCTGTGCGGCAACAGTGCTAACCACCGTGCCACCGTGCTGCCCCTAACTCAAAAGATATTTTTAAATTAATGATGGTACATACCTCCAAAATGTGATTGAACTGAGCCTTGAGTTCAAAGTAAGGCTTGGACTTGAGAATGACTTTCTTCAGGGCTTTCTGGAGAGTCTGGACTCGAGCTTCAGCATCCTGGCACAGTTGGGTGACTCGCTGGTGCTCTCGCTCACTGCGAAGGCGCTCCTCCTCTGCCTCATTCACCTGACAGGACAAAAACCATGACTAAGAGTAGGAACGCTGGATGGACACTTAGATCACACTTTAACTTCTGCCCAGATCCCAGGTTGGCACTGATATAAGCAGACATGCTTCATTTTCAGTTGTCACAGTTATAAAAGATTTGACTAATAACATTAAAATGGTTTGTATTTAAATATTCAGCCACCATTAAATTAAAACTTTAGTCAGAAAAAGTTGGGATGTAAATAATCTGGAAGCTTTTATTTAATCGGAAATGAGACAAAACACAGATATATTTGTAACCATTACTATTAATGATTGTGTATTTGTTTGTTATAAAGAAGAACAGACAAACAACCACCTGAACTTTTTCATATAAGTGGAAATAGTGATGCAGCCACAGTCTCAGCTCCCTGAACTGTTGTAGCTGTTTTGGTCTGTAGTAATGTAGTAAGGTTTCTAGTCCCTTGGGAAGGTTCCTGTGTTGGAGATTTATTTTTGGTGACCTTTTGTTCAGAAAGAATTATCTATAGCGCACTGATTTTAATTGTATAAACAGCACAACAACACTACCATCAGCAAGAGGCAGAAGTGTGTACCTTGGCGGTGGCATGGTTAAGCATCTCCTGCCAGGTTGGGTCCATGGTGTTCTTGTCAGCCAAAAGGCCTTGCTCTGCCACATACACCATCTCTCTGGCAGCAGTGTGCATGGACACAGCCCTCTCATATCTCAGAGCTGCCTTCTGGGTCTCCTGTTGGGCCTAAAGGAATAGATAGCAGCTATTAAAACACAGAAAAGAGATGCATGTTTGAACATACATGCATAGAGAGAGTCTTTTCAGCATTAGAGCTATGATTTGATTTTTTCCATATTATAAACTCAGAGACTCTGGTTACATAAATTGATAAGTGATATAATTTTATTAATGTAGACAGATACCACAACAGTTTAAATAGCTTTACTCCGTAGGGTTAAAAAAATATTCTCAAATAACTTATTTTTTCTATTATGTACTCTCTGCCCACCTTGCTGCACATATTTTGGCAACATCCATAATGATCCTTTTTTTATTTCTGTTTTTGAAAACTAAAAAGTAAAAGTTAAAAAAAGTAACAATTGAAAACTCAAAAGTACTGTGCAGGGTCCACAGTGTGCAGTAAAATGCAACTCTGCGCTCAGTGACCCCACTCTGTAACTCTGTTGTGGTTTCCACTCTGCAACTTGATGTGGAGCGCTGGACATGAATCTAACTTCCATCCATAGATTCCCAGTAGACGTGCAGAGCTCCACAGATCAGTATTCAAATTAACGCTGAAAAAGACACAGTCAGCATCGTCTTCCCTATTTGTAGCTACCACTGTAAACAAAGTTTCTTCTGTTTTAGTGGACTTTGGGGTGAAAAGAGAAATCTTTACTTTAAAACGTCACAGAACCATTGAGAGCTCAATCTGACAATTAACTTCAAATAACAGATTTCTGGTTGAAATGAAACTTCCAAATATTCCTCAGGCCTAAGATCTAATTTTTATCATGTGGGAAAGCTGATTATTTTCTTAGTGTGAGATTTGATTACAATATGATTACAGTGGTCCCTCGCTATAACGCGGTTCACCTTTCGCGGCCTCGCTCTTTCGTGGATTCTTCATGTGCAATTTTTCTCTCCCTCTCTGTTTTTTTTTTTTTTACAGCGCATTGTGTTCTGCATCCTGATTGGCTGTAGACCATTGTCAATAAATCTCATGCCGTGTCTCCTATACAGTACAGGATGCGTTCAGCTTGTCAAATTGACATAAATCTTCCATCGCTAGCTGTGTGACTCTGAAGTGCTGCACTGTATGTTTGTAAGTTTTCTCCCCAACAAACACAACAATGTCGACGAGACGTCGTCACCTGCGGGTGCCTTTGGTCTCATTCTGTAATACTGAACTTATTCTTCTACGAAGGTTTGAACTTTGAGAGAGTTTAAACAAAAGAATGAAAAGTGTGAAAATCTTCATGCCTGTCTGAGAAAAGTGTATAAAGTGTGTATTGAGGGGTTTTACAGCCTTAAAACATCTATAATCATTGTAAAAAATAAAGTTGGCTACTTCGCAGGTTATTTTTAGAACGTAACTCCCGCGATAGACGAGGGACCACTGTACCGCAAAACTGGATTTTTTGATTTCAGCCACTTCCTCCATGTGTCGATGGTAAATCCAATGTAGGGGCCTGGTCTGTGATACTTCCTCACCATCTGTCTTCAGCTGCACAAGGAACTCTGGAGCAGCTCATCTCTGGGGCCATTTTCCTGTTTTATTTATAGATGTTCTGAGTTTAATGCTGAATTGTGTCTCTGACACTCACTAATCCTCGTCCTCCACAGCTCACAGATCTCAGGATGCTGGACTTCAGTGGAGACCTCAGTGAGTCGTTCTTGGTACCCGTCCTCACTGTGGAATCTGTCTCCTCCTGTGTGTATTTTTCCAGCTGGGTATCTGATTACTTTTAAGCAGAGGTGGCAAAAGTACAGACTTCTTTTCTTAAGTACAAGTACAGATGCCTGTGTTGAAAAATACTCCAATAAAAGTACTGAAGCAACTTTTTTACTCAAGTAAAACTGAGAAAAGAACAGGCTCTGAAATGTACTCAAAGTAAGTAAGTAAAAAGTAGCTTGTTGAAAACTGGTTTTACACAAAGGTACCTGAACCTTGTGCTACATTAATATGATAATAAAATAATATTAGTACACGAGAATACAAATTTTTGAATAGAAATTCTAAAGTCCTGAGTTTTAATCTGCCGTAGGACACATGCGGTGTAGGATCATTTGAAAAAACATTGTGTTGCCTATAGGGCTGCCACGATTAGTCGACTAGTCACGATTACGTCAACTATCAAAATCGTCGACGACTGATTTAATAGTTGACGCGTCGTTTGAAGCTTTGTAAGATCACAAAAGACGCAGGAATAAGTAGCAGGATTTAAGAGTGTAATAACGGACTGAAACAGAAGATGGCAGCACTGCATGTACAAGGATGCCAGCTGCTGTTAAACCCCGAAGAAGAAGAAGCTGTGTCCCAGAATTCATAGCGCGTCGCTGCTCAGTTTCCAACAATGGCGGCAGCTAGTTAGTTTTAATATTACTCTTATTATTCTTTCTGGGTCACAAAATAAACGTTTAACATATTTTCAGGCGAGAATGTAGCTGTGTAAACCTCAAATATCTGCTCAGTTTATCAGGACACCACATATTTTCAAAAGCGCTCCGACGTTTTCTGAGACGTCTGTTACCCGGGAGCTAGGCTCACTAGAGCCGTGAGAACACCGGACTCCCGGAAAATCGTTATCAAACCCACCGCCGTCTTTCGCTACTCAGGTTAAACATGATATATGAGTCACTTAGATAACTTAAAATGTTGTTGTTTGGCTTTTTTCAGTGTTTTATTTGTTCCTGAGTAAATCTGTTTGGCTGAGATTAAAGTTTTTACACAGCTGAATAAACGTCAAGCAGACAGCTGATTATCAGAAGTGTGAGATGCTCCAGAATTTACTCCGGTGTCCTGTTATATTTTAGATAGCAAGGAGTTTATTAAACTTCACCGAAACAATCTGCAGATTTCATTAAACTTTAATAAACTATCATCTTGTCTTTATTTTTAGTTAGCACCTTAAACACTTAAAGCTGTAAGCTAATGATAGTTATATAAGAGCAGATGCTGCTGGTGCAATAAGCTGTACGTTTTACGTCCAGTGGATGATGATCTGATTAGTCGACTAATCGCAAAAATAATGTGTGACTAGTCGACTATCAAAATAATCGTTTGTGGCAGCCCTAGTTGCCTACACTGTAGAGGGTGACTTCACCTCCTGAGCTAAACAGTAAAATTAGCACAGTCAGGGGTTACAGCGGGCAGGTGGGGGAACCCTAACATCTGTGTCGTGTCTCAGCATGGGGACAAAAATCACAACTCAAAATCATTTCTAACATGAGCTTCAGCAGATTTAGTGTACAGGATTGTGGATGTACACAACGATGTAAGCAGATCTTTTACAGCTATCTTCACTGATTTCCATTTCCTACACTGACATTATGCTGTACAATGTCTTTATATTAGACTGGATACAGTTGGTATAACGTCAGAATTCAGTGAGTTAATCCAACCATCATCATCTTAATTGTAAATCAGTCTGCTACACTTGATGTAAAACCAAGACTGACCACTGACACTGTGCACCACTCCAGCTTTACAATAACTTCACTGCAGTGTGACAAGCTAACGTCTTTAACCCATACAGAGTACAGAGTATTTTCATGCAGCATTTGATTAACACAAAGTTAGTATAACCTGGTTTGTTTTGAAGTAATGTCCAATATGAGATTAAAAATACATGTACGTTTTAAATTTGCAAATCAGATTTCCAGGCTTTACTGAGCTGGCCTGCCTTTAAATCCAACCTATCTGCGTCCCCTCCTGTCTTTTCTTACATCTTTCTCCATCTCAAAGTTCTCACACTCTTTTCTCTCCTTGGAAATACAGCAGCTATCAACACACTGCGCACAAACAGTTTGTATGTTTGCTGATGTTTGTTGAACTGACCAAAACATTGAGTCTGAAATTACCTGACACTTCAGAGACATCACTCCTTTCATGCTTCCTCCTCTTCCATAGCACTAGCTACATTCTACTGTAAATGATGAACCAAAAGGAGTAAAAAATACAGGTATTCATTTAAAAAAGGGAGTAAAAGTAAAAAGTTTCAGAAAAAAACTGTACTCTGTTACTGTACTCAAGTAGAATTCTGTACCTAAGTATTCGTGCTTTGTTTCTTGCAAAGTCACATGCATTGATGACTTGCATCATATTGCTACCAATCTGCTTTGTCTCAGCTCGTGTCTTATGCAGATATTTGTCTGTTACTGACATTCATGCATCTTTTTCATGATGGCTTGTGCAACACACAGGTACCTGCAGCTGTTCTGCTTTATGGGAATGCTGCCCCTTTAGAACTCAACCAGTCAGTTTTAGACATCCAGTCCAAATGACTTTCCCATGTCCTTGCTGTAGATCCTGTTGAGGTGGATTAGTGAGTTCACTCGTGGTATACAGCCTGATGTCATCCATTTACAGGAGGTGGCTGATGGTCACTCAGCTTCAAACAGCTGGCTTAGGGGTTTAAAGTCTATACAGAACAGCAGTGAGGACAGTGCATCAGCTTGTTGTCTTCTAAGGTCTCCCCAAGTTCCTGATGAATGTTATTGTCATGTGTTAGCCTTGTAAGGTGTGCCAAGTCCCTGACAGTGGCTTTTTCAATGATGGAGACAGTCCATGGTCTGTCACCATCATTTCTCTTCACCTAGCACTGCCATCTGTTGCTGTCACTGTGACAGCTTTTGTTTAACCAAACTTACAGCTGATCATCTGGGTTTGCATACAAAAGAGCAGTATAGTGGCGTGTGCCTCACAGCAAGAAGGTCCTGGTTGGAATCCACCATCTCTCTGTGGCCTTTCTGTGTGGAGTTCGCATGGGTTTTCTCTGTGTACTCCGGCTTCCTCCCACAGGCCAGAGACATGCAATTAGGGTAGTTAGGTTGGTTGATAATTCTTAATTACCCATAGGTGTGAATGTCTGTGTCTCTGTGTTAGCCCTGCAACAGCCTGATAACCTGTCAGGCTGTACCCTGCCTCTTGCTCATGGCCCCCCATGACCCTGATAAGGATAAGGGAAGAGAGTGGAGTGTAAGATTTAAGCTGTCAGACTGTGTTGAAGAGGTCCACACTT